TCCACTGGTATCCTCAAGTTCTTCTCTGCAGGGCTGCTCTCAATCCCCCAGTCTGTACTGATACTGGAGGTTGCCCTGGCCCATGTGCAGGACCTTGGCCTTGTTGAACTTCATGAGGTTTGCATGGGCCCATTCCTCAAGCCTGTCAAGGTCCCTCTGGATGGCATCCCTTCCCTCACGTGGATCAACTGCACTACTCAGCTTGGTGTCATGTGAAAACTTTCTGAGGATGCACTTAATCCCACTGTCTATGTCATTGATGAAGATATTAAAAAGTATTGGTTCCAGTATGCACACTTGAGGGACACCATTCATTACTGGTTTCCACTTGGAGATTGAGCCGTTGACTGTAACTCATTGGACATGGCCAATTCCTTATCCATCTAACCATCCATCCATCAAACCCATATCTCTCCAAATCAGAGGCAAGGATGTTGTGTGGAACTGTGCCAAAGGCCTTACAGAAGTTGAGGTAGATGAAATCCATAGCTCTTGTCACTCCATCGTAGAAAGCCTCTAGGTTAGTCAGACATGACTTTCCCTTTGTAAAGCCATATTGGCTGTCTCTAATCACCTCTGTCATCCATATGTTTCAACATAACTTCCAGGAGGATCTGTTCTATGGTCTTACTGGGCACTGAGGTGAGGCTGACTGGTTGGTAGTCCCCAGGGTCCTCCTTTTTACCCTTGTTAAAAATGGATGTAATATTCCCTTTTCTCCAGTCACCGGAGACTTGACCTGACTGCCATGACTTTTCACATATGATTGAGAGTGGCTTAGCAACTACATCCACCAATTCCCTCAGGGCCCTGGAGTGCAAATATGATGCTTATTTTGCAAACTAAGATGGTACTAGTCAAGATCCATCTGGTATAGTATATTTGAGTGTAGTTTAGACAGCAGAACAGGTTTCTGGGCCTCTTGTTTACATTCAACAAAAGTAATATTCTGTCTGCAATGACATTAAGCAACCAAGCTGAGTATTTTCATTTATTTCTTCATAAATAACTACTCATAAGGAAGAAATAAAAATACGACCTTTAAGTTGCCTTAAATGATAGATACACTATAAAATTAAAAGTGTGTTCTAAACTTTCTCCCTTTTCCCATTAGTACTCTTGATTTTGCCCATAAATTTATTCCTGCTTGTAAGTTGTACGCTATTATTATGGTTACCTGATGGTTTCCTAATCCTTTAATTAAAATGCAGGATTTCTATTGCACTGGCAAATTGTGCAAATTGAAACTATTTTATTTCTTGGTTTACAGAAATAATACCAAATGACATAGCCATAACCAGAGCTCCTGGTGCTAGATATTTGTAAACTATTTGGGTTGAATTTATAGATTATTGCTCTGATCATTCAGATAGCTGTGTATGAATAAAAGCCTGGCTCAGTGGTGCCAGTGCAGGATTGGGCCTAATTTGAAAGTTTGTGAAATGTGAGTGCAGTAAATTAATTCAAACATAATTAAGCAGCTGTTGAATTGTCAGGTATTTTGAAACAGCTTGAAAAACTTCTTCATGTCAATCCTTGCCTGGCAGGGCAGATGTAGACTATGTATGGTTGGGAGTATGGCCAACCTCCTGGCCTCCCATTTACTTGGCACAGCGCACCTCCTGAGCCTGCTGTCACCTTTCCTTGGCCATGGAAGGAGCTGGGTCACCCGTCAGGCTCACACAGGTGTACAGGCAACACACAGCCAGATTGCCTACCCAGCGACAAGGACTTTAGATCTCAGCATGGAGGGTCCTACATAGCTGTGCAGGCACAGTCACTAACTGCAGTGGGTTGATTTTTTTCCTATCCAGCTCATGAACTCATTGATAATTCTCTTTTTTTCCTTTCTTGCTTTTCAGAATGAAACAAAATGCAGATGGACACTAAAATGTTCAAAGAATGCGTTAGATTCAATCTGACAGACATTTTGCACCTTTAACAGTGTTAGTGTCTATACAGGTCTCCTTTAAAGCTAGAGAAGAATAACACATGAAGTGTCTCTATAAGATGCTATAAACAATACATAGCACAAATAACCTAACCAGTACTCTGAAGATGTTGATCACAGCCATTAAGTAAGAAGTTTATTTTGGGGAGGTGTTATTTCTCACAGGCACTGTGCCAGCCTAATCTCTTTCCTCTACTTTTTTGCTCTGGAGCTGCTTAAATTGACACTACTATTGAGAAAAATCTTCCTGCAACCTCAGGCCAAGTATTGTTGCTTTACTTGTTCACAGTGTAGCTTGCTACTCCCAAATAAATGTCTAGGAAAAAGGGTGGTGTTGCACAGTTATACATAATTAAGCAAATGTAATATAAAGGTATTAATTTAATGGGATTTGAATATTAATGAAACAGTTTATTTTCTGCTATAGCAAATAAATTGAAATGAGGCTGTTAAATAGCTTACAGTAATAATAACACCTGGAAACAAATTAGCTATAATGAAGGAAGGTGTTTGTTTTCTCTACCTAAATGAATATGAGGAGCTGTGCATTTAAGAGCGGGATGCAGTCACTGGTGTCTTGATCCAGTGGAGGTGAATTTGTTGAGTTTTGATACTGACTCCATTTGGAGCAGGACATGGTCCTTAGTGTTTTGGGGGTGTCATGGTTCTGATGACGTAGTCTGAGAGTCACACTATGTGTTCAACTTTGCCCTTTGCACCCATTTCAGGAGACATTAAAGGTATTCTCCACAACAGAATGTTAAAAAATAACTTTTGCTTTTTAATTTACTTTTTTTTTTACTATTTTATATATACATTTCTATGCTACTACTCATGATCCAGTATTTCTTCTTTCTGATAATTCTCAGACACAAGTGAGTCTGCAAGTGGCAGAAAAGCGTCACAGCACAGAACAGCCTTTCTAGAGATTGAAGTTTTTTTTCTCATGTGTTGGGTCTAAAATTCATTGCATTAAAATTTGAGAACCATGTGAAATTTAAAAGGTTAACATTTGCATTAATTCAAATTCTGTAGTACAGTTTTACATAATGAACAATGTTTTTTATGATAAGGGAGGTTCCGTTTTCCCCTGAATTAATAGTGTCTGTTGAAGAAAATTGGGAATATCTTGCATTTGCATGGAATACTTGTTACTGCTTCTTGTCTCTCGTTTGCTATTGATACTGTTCTTCCATCTTACAAAGTCCTTAAGGCGTTTACTGAAATTCACTATTTCAGGTTGGACATAGGCATGCCTTAAATGCAAAAAAGAACCCAAATCTCAAACAGCAATCAAAAATTCCATTACATGCATTATTCTGGGACGAAACCCTTAGTTTTGTTACTGAACTTCACCGTCAACTACAACACACTTCGATTAAATACCAAAGATCACAGTAAGCACTGACTAAGGAAGTGGTCTGATGTGCTTAGCTCTCACACTGTCACTTATGCCTTTGGGCGTGGCCCTGAACTCTGGTTGACTTGGTTACTCTAATGGTGAAATTTGACAAATGGTGTTTAATTTTGTATGTAAAACAATTTAAAATTATTGAATGAAAAGTGGGAAATAATTAATTCTAAATGCCATTGAATAAGCATTAAGTCTAAAATAAATTCCTTTCCAGGGAAGGGTTACAAACTCAACCTCTTTTGCTGTCCCTCTGTGATACCACTAGTAACCTTGAAATTTTTGGTTGAAGAAAAGCTAACAAACATTACTGATGATCAGAGCTGGAGCTAGAGTATGAGAGAAAGTAGTTCTAGGGGAAAAGCTGGCAATAGATTGTGCTCATGGTTGGGAAAGGTCCACTTTAAAGACTAGTTTTAGTTGCTTCCTGGACCAAAAGCCAGTTCTCCACACCTTGACCACAAAATACAGATGGCAGAAATGTAACTGCACAGAAGTCTTTTTGAGGACAGAGGTGAGTGGGAGGAAATCTGTTAATGAAATCAAACCAATATGATTAAAACGCATAATCAAATTTATAGCATTTAATAGAATTTTGGTGGTGGGAGGTGGTAACTGAATACATTTTAGCGCAATGTTGAATCAGAAAGAAAATCTGTTCTTCCAGGAAAGAACAGGAAAAAAGACAAAAAGAAAAATGGCTTTCTGTTTTTGAGGTTGCCTGACAAAACACATAGCAATGGAATACAAAAGGCCTCATTCTAATTGAATTACAAACTGTGTAATAGTTTAAACTGCACCAGCTGGTCTTATGAAGCTACCATATTCCTTGGAGACATGCTCCTTGGATTCTCTTAAGAATCTTACTAGACCAGTTCAACATTGCCTTCTGAGTCTTTGTGCTGAAATAGCGAGATGTATAGCTTAACAGCTCAATCTTTATTAAACAATAACTAGAGTGAAGCACAGCACATGGTGTTTGTGCATGTGTGTGTTTAACTTGTATTAATTTGTATTTAGTAGCATCTTTCTCCCTGTCTTTGTTCTTCTGCTCTTTGTTGCCTTAGGCTGTCACATCCTGGAGCAGTCACAGCCTTATGGACAACCCCTTGTTTAATGGGGATTGGAGTCACTGGGTAGTTCTGCGGAGTGCTGCTACACATTTTAGTTAATAAGTTCAGTGTTGATCCTGGGAATACTTATGAGAGATTCTTATTGTAGCTGAGGCTTCTCAATACATCCCTGAATTAGGTCAGCAAGGGAAAAAGTAAGGCATGGGAGGTTTTTGAAGCTTAATAAAGTAACTAGAATCAATTGAGCAACAGTCTTAAACTTGCACCAGAGAAGTAAATTACTTCTGCAATTGGTCACATGAGGTCAATTTTAGATTATTTTGAAGTAGATTGCCAGCTGTGCATTAGAAGCACATCAAACTTTGAATGACAAACTGTCAGCAAAAAACAGGACAACGTATGACCGTTTCTTTTTTGTGTGGAAAGCTCATGTGGTTTTATATGTAGTTGTTTTGCTTCATTGGTCAATAGCACACCAGCTAAAAATATCTGTTTCTTTGAAAACATATGGTGTTTATGTATTCTTTAAAATCTTTCAGTTGTGCTAATCCTAAATGCTTTTTTCTGTTTTAGTTTCCAAAATACTGGTTTTAATACGTTTTTTTATATGAGCAAAGCCATTGATCTTTTACAGACATAATGATTTTCATTTGTTTAAGTGAAGATTCCTGTAACATTTAAGCATTTGATTTAGGAAGGCTTGCTATTAAATAACTTAATTTCTGTATGTCAGAGTGTGTAGTTTTATAACACTGGATCGTGTATCCTAGCAAGGGTGTTCCACAAGTTTATAAGAAAAAGATTTCTGTTTAGTAAGATACATATTTCTTCCCGGTTTTTTTCCTTTTTGATGCTGAATTCAGAGAATAACATACTGATTAATATCAGTCATACCCTGTCACATCAAGCAATAATGCAAGTTTGCTTTAACAAGGCCTAGGTTAGAGAAATGAGCCTGTTTTCTGATATGTGTATCTACACGCATCCCTCTCTGAAATCAGATCTCTAAGGTGCAAATATTCTGCATTACTTTTACATATTGGTTTGTGAAAGCTTGAATTCTAATTTTTAAGTATGAAGTACTTGCAGTATCATCACCATAATAGGTGCCCACGTGGGCAAAGTGAGACCCTCAGTGTTTACTGTGAAGCCTAGATCTATTCTTACCTTTGATGTATCTTGCATCCCATGGAAAAGATGGATATATAAAATGCATTTGTGACTTGAATAATGTTGGTCTGCAGGAAAGAGAAATCTGAGGTGGGGGGACACTTTGCTGTAGCTTTGAAAGTCTGTCTGATATCCCTCGAGGTGGGACACAAAAGCAGATGCCATCTGCTTTTCTCATGCAACCTGAGAAGACTATCAGACTGCCAGAAGTACCCTTGGGTTGGTAGATTTAGGCTGTGCCCATGACATCAGGACCTCTTGAAAGTCTTACTTTTTATCTTTTTAAATGAATTACTTCACATACGCTTTTTCCTTTTTTACAGTATTCTGTAACTTCCCTCAAGACCATCCCAGAATTATGTAGAAGGTGCGATTCCCAAAATGAAGACAGATCAGGTACGATGCCCACTTCTGTCCACCCATCATTTTCTAGGCTGCTTTTTATCATGTACAACTTGGCAACAATAGCTTCTTGGCAGTGTTCTGTTGTTTTGTTTTCTCTCATTTTTGTACAGCTTTCTGGAAACATGACTTTTTTTTTTCAACAGATGTTAGTTCATTAGAAGGAAAAAAGGTTCCAAAAAAGGATTTGGCTGTATACAGACAAATGTAGGGCTTCATCTCAGCAGCTCCAAACCACAGTATATGCAACAATTTACTTGAAAACCCGAGAAACCATTGGTGACAAGACGTAATAATGTAGGCGCCAATGAAAAAATGTTGGATACATTTACTACCCATATGGCCACGACCAGTTTGAGGGATGATGTTTTGCCAGAGTCTGAAACTGTATCAAGGATGCTACATGATACAATCTACTCTAAGGCATACTGTAATAGTTAAGATTAAAGCCGCGTTTTTGAGTTTAATAGTGTAAACTAAATGAAGAATCATGGCATATAGATGAGAACCAGCTGGAGACCTTCCCCCTGCCCCCCTGACAAAAAGTGCATTCAGTGTTGTTTTTCACTCTGTAAATGAGATTAATCCCCTTTTGTTTTTCTCTTCCTGATGGAGGAGAAATGAATTGGTGAGAGGAGCATTTTTGTTGAGCTATGAAAAATTTATTGTGCTTTCTGATGCTTTAATTGAACTTTTCGTTAATGTTGTTCCATCAAATACTTTTACAACATAAATGGGAGAGCTGGAATTTGTGGGACGATAGAAGACTTTAAGAACGGTGCTATACTTTGACAACTTTTATTTCTATATTTCCTTTCAGCGAGTTGTAAATTTCTGAGGTGTGTAACTAAGTTGAAACTTTCTGAGAGCTACTTATTCTACCAGTCATTAAAGGCCAGGTCATCACAGCCCTCTGCCACTGCCCTTGGCAATAAAAGGAAGCAAAGCTCTCCTTACCATACCTGCTTGCCATGTCACTGCCCACACAGGGCACAGCAGTGATTGCACACACAGTGTTACCTGCTGCAAGCAGAGGCAGGGAAGAAGTGGAAAGGGAGAGCACCCCTGATTCACCCCTCTCCATCTGCCCTATCTCATTCTACCCCCAATCTTCCCCCTGTCCTCCACCATCCTCCACCATCCTCCCTTCCATATTCCCCCATCCTCCCCCATTACACCCTTCTGTCCTTGCCCTGCCTTGCCCCCATCTCTCCTCTCTTCTTCCTACCTTCTTGCTCCTTCTTCCCCCCTTCCTCATCCCTTTCTTCCCCCCTTCTTCCTCTTCTGTCCCTTCTCCTTCCCCCTTCTTCCACTGTCCTTCCCTCCTTCTTACCCATTCTTACCCCCATTCTCTGCATCCTCTTCCCATTCTCACCCCATTTCTCCCCACCATTCTGCCCCCATTCTTCCCTTATTTCTCATCCTTCCTTCCCTCCTCCTTCCCTCTTTCTTCCCCACTTCTTCCCCCTTCTACTCCTCATTCTTCCCTGCCATTCTCCTTACCGTTCATCCCCTCATTCTTCCCCACATTCCTCCCACCATTCTTCCCCCCATTCCTCCTCCCATTCTTCTTCCCCCATTCTCCCCACCATTCTCTCTGCCATTCTCCCCACTGTTTTCCCACCTGTTCTCCCTACCATTCCTCCCCACCATTCTTCATCCCCATTCTCCCCAATGTTCACTCCACGATTCTTTCCCCCATTTCCCCAGAACTTACCTTTTCTTCCCCCACATTCTTCCCTCACCAGTCTTTCCACCATTCTTCCCCACGAGCCTTTCCCTTGTTTTTGTCTCCAGTCTTCCCCCCAAGTCTTTCCTAATATTCTTCCCACCACTCTTCTAGACCCTTCTTCCTCCCATTCTTCTCACCGTTCTCCTCCCCACCATTCACTGCCCCTTATTGTCACCCCCTTTATTCCCCACCCAGTACACCCCTCATCTCTTCTACATCCCCTTTCCCCCTGTTTTCTCCCCACCACTGTTTCCCCCCTTCTCTCTGCCTATCAGTATTAGCAGCTGATCATGTGGCAGCAGGGCATTATCTCATCTTGTCATAAAAAGAGTTAAATTCACTCAGCTGCTCCAAGAGCAAGGTGAACCAGAGAAGGAGTGCAAGAATAGCCCCTAAGACATATTGTACTGGTGGTCTGTTCATGAGGACTCCTCAGCCACAGTGGCAGCATCAATATCTGTCTTCAGGAAGAAGAGTGTATTCTTTTTAAAATTCAGATAGTAGTCTTAAAGTAAAATGCAGCCCAATGGCCAGGATGAAGCACTGGTTATGAGCTCTTCCTTAAGACCATGGGATATTGACAACTTATAGTGCAGCTCTGTTGTTTCATGGTCACTTCTGCAGTCAGACATTTTTCAATGATGATTTTAATTACATCTGCGCTCATCTGTTGCCTTGAAAAGGGGTTGACAGCAGCAAATACAGGCATTGCTGGAAGACAGTAGTAGCACTGGGGAGTCTGCCAGTGGAAATTAATTCACAGCTTTGTTTAAAAGTCTTGAGTCAAGAAAGAGGTCTTTAGCAATGATAATAGTATTGGCAAACTGGAAACAGTACTAAAATCTGTTTTTTCTCTCTACTTATCATTATGAGTTTTGGTGAATTGGAAGTAGTACTAAAATCAATTTTATTTTTACTCTGCTTCATCACTGAGTAAACATATAGTGCTGAACAGGAAGGTATCCCTTTACATCCCTGTACAGATTTCAGTATCTGAAGTATCTTGAAATATCAACAGAGCTGCATCAGTTAACATTGTGTAAGGCCCCATCTGTTGATTTTTCATAGTTGCTTTTGATGCAGTCTCTTGCCTTCCTCATACTGTAGACCATTAAAAAAAGTTCCCCAAATTCTTGTTGCTATCTGCTATTCTTGATGAAGATAGATTATATCATAAATCTTGAGTATGCATGACGTTTATGTTATTTTATATCTGTATTCCATTGGCAATTTAAGTAATTACACATAGAAAAACTCAGAGGTTTTACAAAGAGCTAATCCAGCTTTCTACGTCATACTGACTGCTGCTCAGTTAGAGGTTGCATTTCTTCTTTAAAACAGAGAACAATGTGGAAGAAGTAGAACTATCCAAGAATTTTTTTTTAAAAGAACTAAAAGTTAAGCATAAGTTAGCCATAGGATTAGATATGTCGGCACCTTAATAATCCAAAAAATAATTCTCTGACAGCTTGTCTCAGAAAAATATTTAGTTCGCTAAGACAGTTAAGACAAAAGTATAGAGAAAATAAGATTTAACTTTATACTTAAAAATATATATAAAGATGCAGACAACCATTTTCACCAACAAGATTGATAGAACAGATTTAAACCAGACAGTTCCTCTTTGCGGAATTACGTTTTTTAATTATATGGCTGGTATTATGGAAGTCTTACTATTCATTGTTCGCAGATAAGTTTAGTAAATAGCTCTGTAAATCCCATTTTCTTTCCCCATTTCATGTAAACATTGAATAATATGTTACTAACATATGAAAGTGTTTGGTTACATTGTTTTCAAATTGCTCTAAGCACTGTTAATCCTAGGCAAACATACCAGTGTTTACCAGTCAGTATGCTTTCTCAAGCATTTCACATAGACCTTTCAACAGATTTTTTTTTTTTAACTATTTCTGCCTGCCTGTAACTTTTGCTCAAATTACTTGTTCTTTTGGACAAGGAGAGATTAGAAAGTCTGAGAAAGGATTTCTCTACATGTAGTTTTTCCTCCCTGAATTCCCACTGTCACCTCCCTGTATTGGACAGCACTGGCCAGTGATCTGTACCAGTGGGAAGGTCCTGTGGTTCCTTCCTCACCCTTTTTGCAAGACGTGCATGAAAGTCATGCAGTCAGTACAGTCTCAGTCCTGACTCCTCTGTGTCCTTACTTGTATTTAAGGAATTCTGACTCAGGAAAATTCCAAGGGATCCTTAGAACCAAAGTATGTGTGTCAGCACCCCAGATTACAAGGTAAAAGATATATGGGACTGGAGAAAAGGTGTAGGGCAAAACCTGGTTTATCCACAATAAAGAGTGATTAAGGATAATTGTTTTCTCTACCATCATGCTTCAAGAGCATGATCTTTGTAGCAAGCACAATAGCTACTAAGATGGACATTGTTCTTCTTCAATGATAGAAAATTGAAGATTGTAGTTTGAAAATGGATCTAGCTAACTCAATTTTCTGAAATGAAGTGTTAGCCAGCCTGCCCATTGATTTCTGGCATTGTCTAATGTAGAATGAGGAATTGAAACAGAAATCAGTCCTTTATGCTTTTGTTATTAAGCATGAAATTGGTTGCTTTCTTTCTGGGCAGATTTTCTAAGGCCACTTGAGCAAATGGTTCAAGACATCTGTGTTCAACAAGCTTCACTGAGCCATATCGTTGTTGAAGTATATTCTGTCGGCTATGATGACTTTTGGTTGTCATTAAATGTATGTCTCAAATGAAGACAATATCCTACTCTAGATCTTTATTCACAGGTTGATAAAAGCAAGTTCATCTTTAATCTCCAGCTGTTATCCTTCTGCACCACTTTATTCATTCCCACAGTAACTGTCATTAACAAAATTATTCAGCAGATTAGTTTCCTACTTGAGAAAAAGAAATAAATCAGTGAATATAAAATTGCACACAGTTTCTGTCTCAAGTTCTTGGTAGTTTTTTAGCTGTAAGAGAAATTAAAGTAAAATTTGATTTGGAGGCAGTGTTATATGGCATTAAATTCACAGAGTCTGTTGTGCTCCAAATACCTCCCAGGTAAATAACTCTGAAACAATACAGAATTGATTGGATAATTCCTTGATAGAATACTGAAGAATTTTCTCAGAAAAAACAATAATTACTATGCAATGACACTTGTGATAGCTATATATAAGCTCTTTTCCTACCTCGTTTTCACATCCTCCCTCTTCCTGTTTTACACATTTTGTGCCAGAATGACCTCTTCTGATTTTTCAGTAGAACTTTATTTGCTACCTCC